GTAGCCCATGGCAACCTACTGCCACAGGGGCTGCAGCCGTTGCCGGCGACTCACAGCAACCCAGCTCCAGGCTGAGCTGTTGTTCAGCATCTTAGCTGTGAAGGGCAGTGTCACTGGCCCTCATATGTGGGATCCAAACTGGGGCTCTCTGGCATCCCAAGCGAGTTCTTAACCATCGCGCCACTCGGCTGACCCTATCACACCCTTTTAATACAATTGTCTCTTCCCTGTCTCTGTGTGACTTCTGATCATTATAACTTCATTTTAACAGTCACATTGAATAAAAGCTTTCACTGTAATCTGCTACATCAGCCCTTTTTTTAATGGTAAGAGTGTAATTATCAATAAATAACTATATCTTTACTTAAAATTCTAGTACCAGAAAATGATGAACTAAAGATAGTGGGGGTGGGCTTGAGCTCTGTGAGGACTGGGACTCACAGGTCACGCCTGGCTGTCACAGGTTCCTCTGCCTGGGCCTGGATCTAGATGTAAAATGGTCCTCACTACCATACCTGAGGTACCTACTCGAAAGACAAATTGCCAGGGCCTTATCCCAAACCTCCTGTGTCAGAATTTCCCGAGGAAACAATGGGCTTAACAATGGCCCCCATATGATTCATATCATCAGGGAAGTTTGGGAAACACCAAGCCCAGTTTTTCTCCGAGGGTGGTGAGAGGACCATCAAAATGAACCATTTAGAGCAGCTTCTTAAAAATGCAGATTTGGGGGCCTCCCACAAGGGCCTACTGAGCCAAAATTTCTGGGAGCGGGCCCTGGAATATGCATTTTTAAAAAATTTATTATTATTTTTTTAGCTGAGCCATCCTGCCACCTGTTGGCAGCTCAGCTCAGGCCAGGAATAGAACCGGCAACCCTGTTGCTCAGAGCTCACACTCTTGAGCGTGCTCTTAACCAACTGAGCCACTTGGTCAGCTCTGGAATGTGCATTTTAAAATAATTAATTAATTAATTAATTTTTTTTATTGGGGAATTGGGAGAAGGGGAACAGATAAGTTGCTGTCCTTTTGTTCTTCAGTCTAGTTGTGGAGGACGTTGCTTCACTGGCCCAAGTTGGCACCATCATTGTGCTCTTNCCGGCGACTCATGGCAGCCCAGCTCCAGGTTGAGCTGTTGTTCAGCATCTTAGCTGTGGAGGGCAGTGTCACTAGCCCTCATATGTGGGATCCGAACCGGGGCCCTCTGGCATCCCAAGCGAGTTCTTAACCATCGCGCCACTCGGCCGGCCCACACATAGACATTCTTAAAGATTGAGATAATATATGCAAAGCTTTGATATACCAAAAGCAAGTATGTCTTGGTCAAGTACAAGCTGAACTCATCACCATCAAAACAGTATCATCATCATCACCATCATCATCATCATCATTGAAGCTCCCATTTATTCAGTAGGGTGCCAGGCACCCCACTTTAGCAAGCTTTTAATGTCCTTAAAATCCTATAAAATGGGCTATGTATCCCCCAAAAGTCAACTGTTGACAGATCTGAAACCCTGGGCTTATTGACTGGCCCACTGTGAAAGTGGATCAGAGGAAGGATGATGATATTATAGTGATTTAATAAGAAAAATGGAAGAATTTATCAGGGCTCTATTCCTCACATGGGTCAGACCAGCCCTAAGCTCATGGCAGAGTGGTAAAGAAGAAACACTGGGCTATTTGCCCAGAGCCTGTCACTTGTATGAGGTTGGGCAAGTCATTTAATGTTCCCAAACCTTGATTCTCTTCATCTGCAACTTGAGGATAAGGTAATAATGTCTTCCTTGCCAACCTCACAGCATTGACCTGAAGATTATTTGAGATATGGTACTTAAACATGATGTGTGGAAGGTATTATTATTATAATACCTACCAAGAAAACCCCTGATACATGTGAACCTCTACTCCACTCTTTCCTTCTTTCATTTAACCATTATTTGTTATGCAGAAATCCTATTCTCACACCACATCCTGCTCCAATTGTAAATCAATGCATTGATAGACATTCTGCTGTATATAATTAGACCTTTGTGACTTTGCCTTGTTTGTGTCAGTCCTTTGAGGTCTGATTAGCTATTATTTGATCTAAAAGCAAAAGGCCAGCTCTGCTATCTGGTGACCCTACATGGCATTCCAGGAGGCCCTGCCTGGTCTTGGCCATCTCTGCTACCTGCAGAAATGTCTTCAGTCAAGTCATTTATTATGCCCTCAGCTTTAACTGAAGACTAATATTTAAAATGCCATTTGAAAGAAAAAGAGTGTGGTTTTAAGAGCTTAGGGCTTGGGAATCAGAACCATTTGACTCAGAGCCTTGCTCTGCCACGAAAAAGCTGTGGGACCTCCTGAATGTTAAGCCCTATGGTCTTTGAACCTCTGTTTTTTTCTTTTCTAAAGTGCACAATTGTGATTGGAATTAAATTAGATTAAATATATATTTAGAAGAGTGTTAGCACCTATATAGTAGGCTACCAGAAAAAGGTAACTATTATCATTGTTAATATTCATAAAAAACACATCAGTGCCTTCAGCCATCATCCAGTTTGGGAGTGAAAGTCTGTAATAGACAAATGACCACATGACAAACTACTCTTGGAAATGACAGGCAGGGAAAGAAGTATCTCCTAAAGAACTATTTACTAGATGAGGAAACTTATCTTGACTCATTAGGAGAAAATATTGAAAACTTCTCTGCCTACAAAATTCCAGAGCTTCTTGGGGAGGCTGAACCCACACTGGACTTTGCTAGAGAATAACGTGAAGAAGCAGCATCTGCTATCAGAGCTAGTCACCAAAGTTCAACCCAGGGAGAAGCTCTTTTGGTTCCCAGCTCTCTACAACAGAAGCTGATGTTGAGTAACCAGTCACATGAGTGCCAGCATGTACAGGGATGAGCCAGGAGCTTAAGGGAAGAAGTAACCAACAGAACCAGTCCTAATCTTTGGGGAGCACCCAGTGTGTGAGACGGGGGGAATGAGGGCCCTGACCTCAGGGAGACACCCGTCTGATGACTGAGACATAGTCCTGCCCTTAGGGAATATCTATTCTGATTGGGGAGACAAAGGACCAAAACAGAATGCTATTTGCCCTTTTCTGCTAAGAGGCTCAGAGCTAAATTTAAAGGGTGCACTTTATCACACCTTTTTTTTTTTAAGATTTTTTATTGGGGAATTGGGGGGATGGGAACAGTGCTGGGGAATTGGGGGAAGGGGAACAGACAAGTTGCTGTCCTTTTG